TTAGTGCTGTAAAAATATTGAAAATATCCCAGCACTCAGAAAGTAAAGACAGGCCAGAGTGAGTTCAGTTTAAGTTCAGCCTGGTCTGCATAGTAAAACACTGTCTTACTAATCTACCCCTCCCTTTAAATTTATCAAGTAGCTCTTCCAGAGAAATGAAGGGGATGGTTGCTGATGGGGTTGGCTTTGATGATGCGGAGGAGGCAAGATAGCTCTGTGCCCAGACTCCTGACTCTGGCTCACAGCCATCTCCGCAATCTTGCTGACCAGATGGGCAGGGAGTTCTATGGAAGCAGGTGACAGAAGTGCCCCAGAAATCTGGGCATCTTAGAGGTCACAGTAGTAACAGGCACCTCTGTGGAAGGAGCGCTGCCAGTGGAGCTGATGTCCTTCCCCTGGCCTGCACTGGTGCAGGAGGCCACTCAAAGCCACCTCCTACTATGCCCATCTCTGCAGGCAGCTTCCTTTCCTGGCTGCCCTCTTCATCATCCAGTCTCCTCGGGTCAGACCTAAGCCCTGGGTGACCATCAAATTTAAGAACTTCTTTCTCAACCTTCATTCTTCCTGCCGTGACACCCAGTCTCTGCACTCCCTTGCATTGCCATGAAGCCCTCTCCTGATCCTGTTGGGTTCATCCGGAGTAATCAGCCTTAGGCCACACTGTGCTTCCCCTTCAGAGGGTCACTCATCTCCTTACACAGTCAGAAAGTACTTCTGGGGCACTGCCAGTGCTACCTTTACCTGGCTGCCCCAGTTCTCTGTAGTGTACCAGACCAGCCAGGACCAGCCAGCCCCCAGTCCCACTCTGCCAGCTGCCTTTGCTCTCTGCTCCTTCACAGGCCCACCGTGCCCTTCCTCAACTCTGGCTCTTTCAAACACTAAGCCGCTGTCTATAGATTGGAATCTGAAGAGTGTTGTGTATTTATTAAATACACTGGTTAAGTCCTAAAGCTAGCTAAAAGAGCAAGTCCATTCATTAGAAGGAGCATGGGACATTGCTTTGTTGTCCCTGGTCAGGAATGAGGTGATCACTGAGCCAGATTGTAGAATCTTCCCTTAGTGCTCAGGCACAAATGTAAAACCCGCCCATGAGGTCTTCGAACTTGCACTGAGCCACACTGCCAGCCTGTCCTTTCAAAGTGCTGGCACCAGTAAAATCTAAATTCTCTGAAGGGAAAGGATCTTTTGTCAGTCAGCTACAACCCGGCTGCCTGGGACATTGAAAGCATTCATGAGAGTGCCTGAACCCTGGGCACTATGGGCCTGTTTCCAAGTTCAGGGTTTTCCTGATAAGATTTCTTTAAAGTCATGGCTGGCTAAATTAAAGATAATTTTAAAAATTTCTCCATGGGACATAAGAGAAGGCTCAATGTTAAGAGCCTTTTTGCAGCCGAGTGGCATGTGCCTTTAATCCCAGCTCTCAGGAAGCAGAGGCTGGCAGATCTAGTTATCTGTGGGCTCAGATTCATTTACTTGTGGCAGGAATCTTGTGAAAGTTGGGGTCTTTGAATACCTGAATTTGTTAAAGGGTACCTGGGGCTAGGATTGACAGGGTAAGAAACTCACCCTCTAGCAAATACTGCAGCTTGATATAGTGAGTGCCCAGGCTCAGGGTGTTCCTTTGTTCTCTGACTTATCTCAAACATGCCCATTCCCATTGCCAAGGGACACTGATTTCAGACATCTAATTTTGCTCTAGAAACACAGGGAATGTAACCTAAAGAGTTGCCACATGTCTATTTCCTTTACTCTGACTTAACAGAGAAAAGTTAGGTTCTGCACTTCCTAAGGAGCCACTTAGTTTTTGGGTTTGTTTGTTTGTTTTATTTTTTCATAGCAGCTTACCTTCTCAAGGAGATGCTGATCTTTACTATCATAACTTTTTTCTCCTTTGAGACAGGGTTTCTTTTGTGTAGCCATGGCTGTCCAGGAACTCACTTTGTAGACCAAGCTACCCTCAAAATTAGTAGGCCAGGCTGGCCTCAAACTCAACTAAGATCTGCCTGCCTCTGCCTCTCAAGTGCTGGGATTAAAGGTGTGTGCCACCACCTCCTGGGTAATATGACATTTTGCCACCAATACCCCAAGATTCTGGCATCTAGAAAAGCACAGGGTTTGAGCTTTAAGAGATGATCCGGGCCAGACACACACCTTTAATCCCAGGCTCATAGCAGTTTACAATTGTAAATGTAGTCTCAAAGTCTGACACCAGATATGAATTACAAAGGCAAACATGGGTACGAAACATACATGTATGTGTATGTATAAACACCCTTATGGGTGGTCTTATATCTGTATACACATGCAAATAGGGTGTGTGTGTATTAAAGCAGTCTAGGGAGCTGAGACATGACTCAGTGGTTAAGAGCAAGCATATTGCTTCTGCTGAGGACAGGTGGCTCACAAGCTCAGCACTTCAGCTTCAGAGATTCTAGTGCCCTCTTCTGGCCTCCACAGGAAATAACTCACATGTGCAGACAAATAGTTAAAAATAAAAGTGGGCTGGGCATGTAACTCAGTTAATAGTGTTCTCCTAACAACCCTTAAGCCCTGGGTTCATTTCTCAGGCCTGCATAAAACCAGTAGTCACTCAAGCCTACAATCAAGAACTCAGGAGGCTGAAGGAGAATTGCCACAAAGTGGAGGCTTGCTTGGACTTCGATGTGAGACTGTCTCAAAAATAAAAAGTCCAGCGTGGGGATTCACATCTTTAATCCCAGCAGAGGCAGATGAATCTTTGAGTTCAAGGCCAGCCTGGTCTACAAGGAATTCCAGGACAACCGGGAAAACACAGAGAAACCGTGTCTCAAAAATAATAACAGCAGTTCTTTGTAGGATGGCTCAATGGGTAAAAAGTTGTTATACAAACACTATAACCTGAGGGTTGACCTCTGACCGCCACACACGTACTGTGGCACACACACTAAATAAAGCATGCATGATAGTAAAATTTTAACTAAGTCTGGCAGGATATGCAGCAAGGTCAGTGGAATGTCTCAGGATCCAAAGACAAGACTACATCTGGCATTTAGGCAGGAGCTAGTAACAAGGATTAATATCAGTAAGGCCTGCAGTCTCAGGCAGGCCTTCATTGGTTAAAAAAAAAAAAAGGCCCAAGCCACTGAGTTCAGTCCCCAGTATCAAAAAACAGCAAAATAAAAGCTTCCACAGGAACGCTCCTGAAGCAGGGACAGCTGCATTGGATCCCTTCTGAGTGCTTGTTTCCTGGCTGTCTTTCCTGTAGACCTCCATTCTGTTTGGCCAACAGATCAATTTCTATGCTGCCAGTCCGTCCCTTCAGCTGCTCCCACCACCAACTCCTGTTCCCTACCATGCCCTTGTTCTCTGATCTCTGGCCCACCAGGAAGTTTGTGCTCTGGGGCTGTCCTGTCTTGCTGAGTTACTAAGCCTCGCACTTCTCTTCCCATAGCTGACTTGGATCTGTCTTGAGCAGGTCACCCCTCTGCTCAGCACCTCCGAATCTGTTTCTAACTCTTCAATTCTGGCCTTGGTGCCCCTTCAGCTCTCTAGTCAACTGGTGGGGTCCTGTTTGTCCAGTGTCTTTTGTTTTGTTTCTGGGGAGGAATTCAGGCCTCTGGCACAAGCTATATGAGCCAAACCCCACCCCTGTAGGCTCTGCCTGGGCCTCACACCTGCATGGCTACCTGGTGAAACCCTGCCCAGACCTCACTGACATTGCAGCCATGCATGGAAGAAATGGGCAGGGGCTTGATATCACAGCCAAAAGACTTCATCACTCTCCACTTACATTTTTGGGGACAGTTTCTCACTGAACCTGGAGTGTATAGATTTGGCTAGGCTGGCTGACTAATGAGCTTCAGGGATCCACGTGTCCTGTATTTGCTAGAGGGTGAGTTTCTTACCCTGTCAATCCTAGCCCCAGGTACCCTTTAACAAATTCAGGTATTCAAAGACCCCAACTTTCACAAGATTCCTGCCACAAGTAAATGAATCTGAGCCCACAGATAACTAGATCTGCCAGCCTCTGCTTCCTGAGAGCTGGGATTAAAGGCACATGCCACTCGGCTGCAAAAAGGCTCTTAACATTGAGCCTTCTCTTATGTCCCATGGAGAAATTTTTAAAATTATCTTTAATTTAGCCAGCCATGACTTTAAAGAAATCTTATCAGGAAAACCCTGAACTTGGAAACAGGCCCATAGTGCCCAGGGTTCAGGCACTCTCGTGAATGCTTTCAATGTCCCAGGCAGCGGTGGTGGCTGACACCTTTAACCCCAGCATACCTTTAATCCCAGAGGCAGGTAGATTTCTGTAAATTCGAGGCCAGTCTGCTCTACAGAGTGAGTGGCAGGACAGGCTCCAAAGCCACACAGAGAAACTCTGTCTCCAAAACCAAAGAACCATAATCCCAGGCAGGCAGGGGTGGCCAACACCTGTAATCTTAGTACTTGGGTGAAGGCAGGAGAATTAGGCATTAGAAACCACCTTCATCTGCATAAAGAGTCTGAGGCTCTATAGCAAAGCCTGTCTCATGTCACCTTTATTCCTCACATCAAAATTTTAAAAAGTTACAGCTGGGTGGTGGTATTGCATGACTTTATTTGCAGCACTGGGGAGGCAGAGGCAGGTGGATCTCTGTGAGTTTGAGGCCAGCCTGATCTACAGAGCATATTCCAGGACAGCCAGGGCTACACAGAGAAACCCTTTGAGAACATCTCAAGTACTATAGTCCATGTCTACTGTGAGAGGAACTCCTGGTAAAATTTCTTCATAACCATGTCTCCATTACTCCCAGCACTCCCCTGAGCCTTTGGGGACGGCCTCTTAATTTGGGTTTCTACTTTCTCACCCCTCCCTTTATTTTCTGACCGAAGTCTAAACAGTTAAGGGTTCTGACTGAATGCACATTTCCAAAAGGGAAGACATGGAACATGCTGTGGCCTGAGGAATCCTGTGTCCTGTCAGCTCTGTGGAAGGATAGCATAAAGGACACAGACACATTTCTTCCCTCACTGCTGGCCTGAACAGCAGCTGCCTGTGAGGACCCCACAGCCTGAGTCCTGGGAACCGTCAGTGGTTGATCACCGGAAGGATGTCCAACCAGGACCTGAGGTAGGCGCTAGGGAGACCGCTGGTTTGAGGGAGGGTTGCAGTGAGAACAGCGGAGTAAACGGTTGGGAAGAGCTAATGAGACCTGTTGCCCCAGATATACAAGCGGAGATGCACACAGTGTTGTTAAAATGCAGTTTGCCAGCTGGCCATGATGGTGCCTGCCTGTGTCCCAGCTCTAGGAGGCAGAGGCTCAAGGATTAGGTATATATAAGGCCAGTCTTAACTTCACGTAAGATCGAGGCCAGCCTGGGCTGCATTGAGATCCTCTTTAAACTTCCCTGCCTGCAGTAATATTTTCAATTATCTTAACACACCTCTGCAGGCTCTCTTGCTTATTCAGGTTCCTTTGTGAAGAAACCTTCTGTTAACTGCTTTTAGCTATTTTGTGGCAAGTATTATCTTCCTGTCTGCTTATGGCCTGAAAGATAAGAATGTTTTATTTTTCCACGGGGCCTGAGAAAGCTTTGTTTTCTATTCCCAGACTCCTCTCCTTGACATGCCTAAAGCATGTGTTTACAGAGGCTAGGACAGATAATGTATGCTTGTTAATCCTGGTTCTTGCTTGCTAAGAAGCACACATAATCAGGGCACCTTATCTTTAAAAAGACTTTGGGTTTGCTTTGTGTGACTGTTTTGCCTACATAATTTATGTGCATGCCTGGTGCCTACAGAGGTCAGAAGAGGGTGTCAGATCCCCTGGAATTAGAGTTACGCATGGTTGTGAGCTGCCTGACATGTGGGTGCTGGGAATCAAACCTGGGCCCTGGAGGGTGTCTTATCCTTAACAACAGTTGCCATTTACCTGACTGTCATTTATTTAGTCCTCACACAGACCCTTAGATGAGGGAATGAAGCTTCAGAGAACTGAGGCAACTTGCCTGAGTGAACAGCTCAGCCAGGGTTCACTTACACCACATTCTCTTGTCCTTCAAGTAGAAATAAAGTTGGATCTTGTTTGAAAACTTTCTCACAGGCTTAGAAGGGTGAGGCTGGAAGGCATCTGAGTTAAGGCCTGGAACTCCCTGGCGGGCCCCTTCCAGCAGGCCTGCAGTGTGTTAGTCTGGTGAACACTGTGTGTTGTTGTGAGATGATCAGGCTGGTAAATATGGGCTTCCTAGAAAGAGGTTCCTAACCTGTGTGGAGGAGGGGACAAGGACTATCAGCTGGGAGCCCCGTAGCGGCCATTCCTGATTTTCTTTGCCTGGCCCTGCTCTCGTGTGCCCTATCCTAGCTGGCTGTGGCCAAGTACCTTCTCAACACTTGTCTTCCTCTCCTCCCCATGGCCTAGCATCACTGCAAAACTCATCAACGGAGGTGTGGCAGGACTCGTAGGGGTGACCTGCGTGTTTCCCATTGACCTTGCCAAGACCCGACTCCAGAACCAGCAGAGGAAAGATGTGTATAAGGGAATGTAGGTATCGGTGGGAGACGCGAAGACAGGAGGGCCCTGGGGAGGGTCTGGGGTTTCATGTGCTTCTTCAGGGAGGGACCTGGGGGCCAGGCCAACTGAGGTATGCCCAGGTAGGGGAAGAGGTACATTTGGTCACTGCTAACTGCCTTTCTGGTCTCTGCTTCTAGGACAGATTGCCTGATGAAGACTGCACGTGCTGAGGGCTTCTTGGGCATGTACCGAGGTGGGCTTCTGAACTCCCAAACAGGTTTCGGCTCCTCTCCCTAGGATGATGGGGTGGAGTGTGCAACCCACACTTTGTGAGCTTGTAGCACAGTGGTATAGGTGTTCATTCAACCCAGGGAGCTGCTAGGTTGGGGCCTGAACTAGTTGGTGGTTCTTGACTACCCCAGATTTCAAGAGGCTCCAATGTGGAGACAGCTGCTTCTAGCTAAGGCTTCCTTGGAGGTGCTTGGTTGCGCTGTGCTTAAAACAAGTGCTTCCGTCCTTCCCCTGCCTCCCAACCCTCTTACTCTCCCTGAGGTAGAATGACCCACAGAGCTGTGGAGCTCCGCCCCACCTGACCCCTTGCTGCTGCTGCTGTCTGTAACCTCCACATCCATAAGGAGACCTGGATATGGGTCATAGGTCAGTGATGGGAAAGTGCTGATATGCTGGGAGTCCCCCCTGGAAGCCCCCCCCCCAATAAGGACAAACACTTGTGTGAAGCCAGGTGGTGGTAGCATATGCCTTTAATCCTAGCCTTGGGAAGCAGGGGCAGGTGGATCTTTGTGAGTTCCGGCCAGCACAGAGCAAGTGCCAGGATAGCCAGAGCTACACAACGAAACCCTGTCAAAAAACAAAATTGGACCAACCAGTTCCCAAAAAATAATAATAAAAAAAAATCCCCAGGCTGCTTATTCACCATTAGATAGCAGCAGGATAAAATCTGGTGACTTCTTAGCCAAGTGTGGTTCTGTATACCCATGATGCCAGCATTTGAGAGATGGAGCCAGGAGCTCCATCATTCCCAGTTACAAAGGAAGTTCATGTCCAGCCTAATTGTGATCCTGTTCCAAACAAACCAAAAAGGGAAACAACATCAACAACAAACAAAAATAGACGACTTCTTAGTAATGGGACACATGCATCCATGAAGAACATGGGTTTACGCAGGAGAATGGGACTGGAGAGCTGGTTCAGCAGTTAAGAGTGACACTGTCCAAGCAGTGGTGGTGTGTACCTTTAATCCCAGCACTCGGGAGGCAGAGGCAGGCAGATCTCTGAGTTCGAGGCCAGCCTGATCTACAGAGCGAGTTCTAGGGCAGCCAGGGCTACACGGAGAAACCCTGTCTCAAAAAGGAAGAAGAGAAAGAGCAAGCACCACACTTCCTGAGGACCCACATTTGTAAGTTCACTACCACCTGTAATTTCAGTTCCAGGAGGACCATCTTTAGTCCTCTATAGATATTACACACACATACACACATACAAACACATACACACACACACAGACACAGATACATACACCACACCACATACCAAGCAAATAAAATAAAAATGTGGGGGCTGGAAAGACGGCTCAACAGCTAAGAGCACTGAATTCTCTTCCAGAGGTCATGGGTTCAGTTCCTGGCACCCACAACCACTCGTAATTCTAATTCCAAGTCAGATGTGTCTTCTTAACTTGCAGGCACCACACATGCTTAGGTGTGCTTACATACATGCAGGCAAACACTCACATACATAAAATAATCTTCTACAAAATGAAATCTAAAACAACAAACCAGGTGGGTGTGGTAGTGCACACTTTTATTCCAGCACTCAGGAACAGGAGGCAGAGTTAGGTGGTCTCTGTGAGCTCAAGGCCAGCCAGGGCTGCATAGTTAGATCCTGTCTCAAATTTTCAAAAAAAAAAAAAAAAAAAAGGAAGGAAGTAATGGAGGGAGGGGAGGACACAGCTAGGAGAGCCTGCAGCTTGCTATTGCACAGCAGGACAGTGAACTTCAGGGTGGCACACCTGACGTGCTTGCACTCAGGAGGCAGGGGGATTGTGAGTTCCATGCCATTCTGGGCTACGTACTAAGACCCCTGACTCCAAAACTAATAGAGTCCAGCAAGTTAACAGCTGAACCACTTGCACACAAGCCAGAGCCATGTAAAGGGCAGAAGAAGAGAATGACTTCACAGAGCTGTCCTCTTGACCTCCACATGTGTTCACGGGCACACACAATAAAAGAAATATATTAAAAATAAAAGGAAAATGTGCTAGGGAGAGAGAATGAAAAATGTACCCACCTTTCAGTAGGCTAGACCACTGGGTTGCCTCGCTTGGCTTCTGCAGCCATATTCATCCCAGAGCTTTGCCCATCAGTGGCAGACTGCAGGAATGGTCTCTTCTGCAGCAGCCATAGCTTTCTCTCCATCTCTCACCCCCAGGGGCTGCAGTAAACCTCACCCTGGTCACTCCAGAGAAGGCAATCAAGCTGGCAGCCAATGACTTCTTGCGGCAGCTGCTCATGCAAGATGGGTAAGGTTAGGTGACAGTGGCACAGAGACCTTCACTGTATGTCCGGAGACAGTAGATTCAAGAGAACATACAGAATATATAGAGATGTTTTTTCTGATGAATTTTTTTTCTGTGTTGTTTGTTTTTAAACAGGATTTCTCTGTGTAACAGTCCTGGCTGTTCTGGAACTCTTTGTAGACCAGGCTGGCCTTGAAATCCCAGAAATCCGCCTGCCTCTGCCTCCCAAGTGCTGGGATTAAAGGCGTGCGCCACCACCACTTAGCTCTTGTTTTATTTTTTTTTTAATTTAGGGTTTCCCTACTTAGTTGTCTGGCCTGGAACTTCAGTGATCCTCCAGCCTCTACCTCTTGAGTGCTCAAAATCATAGCCTTATGTGGCCACACCCTATAAGCTGACAAATTTTAAACATTAACCCCCAAACCTCTCTTCTTCTGTGTCCCAACTTGTCCTAGGGATGGCACTTAAGAGGCTGGAGTAAGACTCTGACATCCCATTGGTGTTTGGTGGTCCCTGATTTCACCTCAGGTCTACCTGCTGCCCACTATAGCCCCTGCTGGTAACCCAGCTCCATCGTGCAGGGGCACTATCTGCACTTCTAGAGGGTAGGCAGCAGAGCTGCAGTAAAACTGAGGACAGCTTGGCTTACATACAGTTACATACAGTTACAGCCAGGCATGATGGCACACACTTTTAATCCCAGTACTCAGGAGGCAGAGGCAGGAGGATCTCTGTGAGTTTGAGGCCACATGCATCCATGAAGAACATGGAAGTAAGTTCTGGGATAGCCAGGGCTACACAGAGAAACTTTGTCTTAAATAAATAAAATAACAGCAACAACAAAACAGGTCCAGCCACAAAGAGGGGCAGAGTGGATGGGCAAAGTGGGGCAGGGCTGGCCTGAGACTAAGGACTTTACTCCTGGACCCACAGGACACAGCGGAACCTGAAGATGGAGATGCTGGCTGGGTGTGGGGCTGGAATATGCCAGGTGGTGGTTACCTGTCCCATGGAAATGCTCAAGATTCAGCTGCAGGATGCTGGCCGCGTAGGTGAGTCACATCCCAACTCATGGCATCAGCAAGGCCAGATCAGCACAGGGCACACTGCACTGCACTCCCAGCACCAGGCTCTGAGCACACCCCTAAGTCAACAGATGTGTACACAGCATGCCTTTAACCTTTTCAGCTCCAGACCAAAGAACAGACACAAGAGCCTAGATTCTACAGGATGTAAGCTCATACTTCTGTGCTAACGCCTTGATGGTCAGGCTGGATTCCTGAAGGGGTTTTTTTTTTTTTTTTTTTTTTTTTAAAGTGGGGCTTAGGGGATTGGAGAGGTGGATCAGTAGTTAAAAGCACTTGCTGTCCTTCTAGAGAACTGGGGTTCAATTTCAACACACACACACACACACACACACACACACACACACACACACACACACACACACGACAGGGCACCTCACAAGCATCTGTAACTCCAGTTCCAGGAGATCCAACGCCATCTTCTGGCCTTCTTGGGCAATGCATATATTGCCAGGAAAACACATACACATAAAACAGTAATTTTTTTTTCAATTATGAGTCTTGCAGTGGTGGCACATGCCTTTAATTCCAGCACTTGGGAAGCAGAGGCAGGCAGATCTCTGTGTGTTCTAGGCCAGCTTGATCTACAGAGCAAGTCCTAGGACAGCCAGAGCTACACAGAGAAACCCTGTCTCAGAAAACCAATCAGAATGCTGACAGTTGCACACATACATTGTGAGCAAGAATTGGGTTCCAAGGAAGAGACAGGGGCCTCTGTAGGGCTAAGTCACGGTGTCTGGTTAAATAAGCTAATATGTGACACTCTCAACGCCACCACCCTCCCGCTCCATTGTGCACACTGGTGCTGGAGTCTAGCCAAGTTCCAGACTGGTTACAGCAGCTTAAGCAGCTTCAGGAAGTCCATGTGTCCCTGTCTGGCACGAGAAACTGCCTGCCATGCCACCTTTTCAACCAAAGAAATTCTAGTATAAAGCTGGTGGTGATGGTGGTGCAGGCCTTTAATCCCAGAGCTCAGGGGGCAGAGGCAGGTGGATCTCTCTGAGTTCCAAGCCAGCCAAGGTTATATAGTGAGACCCTGTCTCAAAAAACAACAACAAACCAAAACCCCAAACTAACCATCCAAACAAAGAGCAACAGCAAAGAAAATGTGTGTAAAAACCTGAGTGGTGTACCTGTCTGTAATCCCAGGGCTTAAGGGGAGTCCCAGCCTTGGCTATAAGAACCACACATACACACACAGACTTTGTGGCTTTGGATCTGACACTAAAATGGTTCAACACTGAATTCTGTTCTGAGTTGGAGGGGTTTTAAAGGGCGTGTGCTCCTGGTCTTGGAGTAAGGAAGGAGGCAACCCTGGAAGCCTGCAGAGGTCATTTCTGACAAAAGCATTTGCTGGTGTGGTGGTAGCGGCTTTTAACATTAAGCAGAACACACGAGGTGTTTCTGTCTCCAAGTGCTAGCAAGACACAACTATCTGAAAAGGCTCAAAGAGCTGAAAATGGCGGGCCATAGGGGTTTATTTAATCAGGCTAGGCGGACTGGGAGAGGTTCACCACTGAGAACACCTTGGGTACCTGCTGGGATTGGTGCAGACTTGCTGCCTTTCCTCTCTAGCTGTCAGTCATCAGGGCTCCGCCTCATCAGCACCCACCTCCCGGCCCTACAGCACTGGCTCGGCTTCCACCCACAGGCGCCCATCTGCTACGCTCATCGCCTGGGAGCTGCTGCGCACTCAGGGCCTGTCTGGGCTCTACAGGGGCCTGGGTGCCACTCTGCTCAGGTGAGGACCTCTTCCCAAGCCTGGGCCAGAGACCCCCAGAGTCTTATCTAGGGAGCTGCCTACCTTACCCATCGCACCAAACCGCTTTCCCTCCAGTTGGTTCCTCTGAAGGTTACAGGGGTGGGGATGGGGGTGCTGGACAGGGGAACTTCTCTGCCAAGCGGGGGGGGGGGGGTTCTCCCACCTGCCGCGCCCCACTGGTCCTGGGGAAGCTGCTGAGAGAGGCACCCAGAGGGTCGTCTTCCTCCTTTACAGAGACATTCCCTTCTCCATCATATACTTCCCCTTGTTTGCGAACCTGAACCAGCTTGGGGTCAGCGAGGTCACCGGCAAGGCCCCCTTTGCACACTCCTTCGTGGCAGGCTGCGCAGCAGGTTCTGTAGCCGCGGTAGCTGTCACCCCTCTGGACGGTAGGTGTGGAGAGGGCTGCGGTTTGGGATTTAAGGGTCACCCAGCTTTTCCCATCGGGCTCACACAGCCTAAGAGCTTGCAGGTGCAGGTGAAACAGCCCCAATCCTCCACGCCCTTGGTGGTCAGCCCCTGGCATGAGCTCACCGGAGGCCTCACAGAAGGCTGTGCCTAACTCTTCTGTCACCACACAGCCCCTCACCTTCCCCAGGCTTTACTTTTTCTTCCTGGTAGTTCTGAGTCTGAGCTGGCATTGGGGGACCTGTGATGCTCAGAGCCACACACAGCCCCCTCACAGGCAAGCAGCTGGAGTTCTCCCACTGCAGGGGAGATGGAGAGGGCTGCTCTGGTCCAGCAGGGAACACCCACTCTGCTTGCAGAAAGGACAAACTCGGTGTCTGTTACTTGCATTAACTTCTGTTTTGTTCAGTTCTGAAGACTCGGATCCAGACCCTCGAGAAAGGCCTGGGTGAGGGCACCTACAGTGGGGTCACTGAGTGTGCCAGGTGAGCCAGCGCCCCAGACAGCACGCCAGCTCAAGACCCCCTCCGTGGCAGCACGTGGAGCTGTTTTGGGATGTGAGCTCAGGGAATTGCTGAGTAGCTCCCGTCTCACCCTGAGCTCTGGATACGGGTTTATTTAATGGTTCCAGTCTTTGGTTTAGCACTTGAGCTGTGAAGGCGGGGCCACAGGTCTCAAAAGAGGTATGAAGTGATGGCCCTTCTGTAATCTTATAATCCTAGCACTCAGGAAGTTGAGGGCAGCCCAGGGCCAGCCTGGGCTACATCTGGAGATCCTCTCCCCAAATCCAACAACAAAAACCAAGTAAAACCTAAGAGACAAGTCATGAGTAAGTGTGCTCTTAGCCTTCAACTACCAAGGTTCTCCTTTCTCCACAGGAAACTCTGGGCACAGGAGGGAGCGGCTGCCTTCATGAAGGGAGCAGGCTGCCGGGCCCTGGTCATTGCCCCCCTCTTTGGGATCGCCCAGGGCATCTACTTCATTGGCATCGGAGAACGCATTTTAAAGTGCCTTGAGTAATCTAAGGTGTCCCTCACTTGCTGCCACCACTGGCCCTACTCCTGGGAGGAGGAGGAGGTGCAGGGAGCATAAGACGCCCACCCTGTCGTACGTGGTCTCTAACTTATAGTGCTACCTCAGAAGAAAGGACCCACTTTACTAAGCAAGTAGAGCCCTCACTTCCCTTTATGAAGACTAGGCTGTGGTACAGCTTACCAGGGCCATTCAGAAGCCCCAACCACCTGTTTAACAATAGAAACGGCCTAGGTGTGTGAAGGCAGGATCAGGCACAGTAAGGACGGGAATTTACACTAACATACCCACTGTAGATAGACATAGCACAGCTGTATCAGCATGAGGATTTAGTGTTAATCCTAGCACTGATGCTGTAACATCAGAAGTGCACCGGGCTCAACCATGTGCCCTCCTGAACATCACCAACGGTCAAATGAACCCAAGTGGGCAGCTGTCTTGCCCAGATGCCCTCCCTCAGGTATGGGCCCAGATCCCTCCTAGTGGGTCCTCGTGGGACACGATAAAGTCAGCTAAATCCTTGTCCGGTAATCAGCCCAGCAGACTGACAGGGAATGTCTCCTGAAGAACCAAGCTGTGGCTTCTGGGTTCCCACAGCATAATGTCACACAGATGACATCAGGCCCTAAGAAAACAATCCTGTCTCCCTCACCCCCTTCTCAAGACAGGGTTTCTCTATGTAACAGCCCTGGATGTCCTGGAACTCACTTTGTAGACCAGGCCAGCCTAGAACTCAGACATCTGCCTGCCTCTGCCTCCTGGATGCTGGGATTAAAGGCGCGTACAATCCTGTTTTAAGAACAGGAGCCAGGCTGGAGGCACAGCTCAGTTGGTAGAGTGCTTGTGTAGCATGCTCAAGTCCTGGGTTCCACCCCCAGCACCTCATAAACTGGATATGGTGTTATGTGCCTGTGACCCTAATCTTAGGAGGCAGAGGCAGGAGGACAACAAAGTGAAGGCCATCATCTGCCAATAAGCAAGGTCTAGGCCAGCCTCACTCCATGAAATTACCAATTATCTGAAATTGTAGCAGCCCCGCCTAACTTAAGTCTGGTTCTGGGTGGCAGATGTGCATACAAATAGTCACCTGAACGGTGTCATTCTCTGTGAGACACGACAGCCAAGACGCCACTGCAGGGTCATAGAAACCTCTGCACAATCACTTAAGGACAAAGCAGAGCACGGATGGTGGCCAGGGGAGGGTCTGTACTAATTAATACAAAGCTCCCTCCCTATAAAACTTGGGCTTTGTTCACTTTGTCTGGATAAAACTGTTTCAGCAAAGATGCATGGACCATGGGGGGGGGCATGGCTCAGTGGTACAGCCTATGCTTACCATTAAGGCTCTGGGATCCACTCCAAACACATGTGCACACATAAAAAAAAAAAAAAAAAAAAAAAAAAAAAGCTGTCCATTTGGTCACAGGGCTGCAGAAAGGTCTAGTAAACTATCAATACCACCAGGATTCAGAAGTAGTTCTTCTTGGGACCACCCCCCTTTTTTTCTTGTGGTGGTGGTGGTGGATAGGGTCTTCTTTGTTGCCCAGCCTGGCCCCAAACAATCCCTCCACCACAGCTGGAACTACACATGTGTGCCACCATGGCCAGCACAAACTCACAGTGCCTTACAAAAGAAATGACAACCAAACCAAACCCACATAAACCTTCTGTTTTAATAAATAAAGAGTATCTGTGGCTTAGACTTTAAATCACATTTACAGGTAAGGAAAACTAGACCCAAACAGTAACAGTGAAGCTAGTGTTGCTGGAGGAATGCCAGACCCACATGCACTTGACACCCAAAGAGCAGGGACAGCATGCACACTCACTCTAGACCAGACTAGGAGCAGGGAGCACAGGTCCTTGGTGAGGGCCACACAGTACCGCCTGACCCCTCGAGTCCTGCTGCAGTACCAGTGCACAGTGTGGTGTCAGATGAGCCGGGGCTGGGCTCTTGCCCACACCAAGTGGCCTCCTTTCTGTTGACATTGGGGTGAGGGTGTGGGCTGCAGAGGGGATCCACTGATTACCAGTTAGAACAGAAAGAGGAAGCCACACAGATATCTGCTGCTCCAAGAGTACAGCCTTGAATGAACTGCACCTCCCCAGGTTTAGTCCAGAAACTTCCTATTGGCATTTGCACCAAACAAGGCTCCCCGGACTTCCGGCATCATCTGTAAAGAAGGCAGTCAGTAAATAAGGACCTCATGGGACCGTCACACGGGGAAAGTCCGAGCTAAGCACATCAGGTCTGTTGTATACATTGCACTGTGCCAGGGGCAGTCACAGTGTGGGCTAACACCAACTGCTCACAAAAGGGACAGGGAAAGAAACTGACACAGGAGATGGTGTGTCAACAGCGCTACTGCATCTTACAGTGGATCCGATGCTTTCTTTCTGAATGCCCACAACCTGCCAGGAGTGACCGACCACACACGGCACTTAGAATGGAGTCTGTGCTGAAGCCCTTTTTAAAACAGTTACAAGGACTTTGCCTCAAAAATCTAAGGCTGTGACAAATTTTAGGGGTCACATAAACTCTTGGCAGTTAAGTAAAAGCCAGCATTCCTCAGGAACTTATAAAACTGGTTCCCACCTGTCAAAAGGAGTCATCTCCCTTCCCCCCGGTTGTGTATCAAAACCCCTGCAGGTGTCCAGGCTCCCTCGGTATCTACCACCGTACCTGTCACACATTCAAAGTCCACAGCTGGCATCCTAGGTGTCCCTGTATGTCCCATCTTTCTCACTCTCCCTCACTTCTGTTACCCCTCCCCCCGACTCTTCCAGATGCCTCTGGCTATTCTCTCTCTTTCACATCTACAATAAATGCCCTAACCACATCATGGAATGGTTATGCTGGCAGTTTCTCTACTGTGCCCCCACAGATACAACTGTATGTACTGGCAAAGAACCGAAGGGTAGGGGTGTGTGTGTGTATTGGGAGGGAGGGAGGGGGAGAAGGAGAAGGAAAGAGAGAGCTGTGTCAGTATAGCTAGAGATGGAATAGGGTTTTGCTCTCTAGCCTAGGCTGGCCTGGAACTGGCAATCCTCCTGCTTCCTAATATTGGGGTTAATAGGTATGCATCAATCTATGTGTCTGAAGTTGTTTTGTCTCCTTAGGAGACAGAGGGGATGAGGAGAAGGAGGCAGACACCATGTCCACATGCTGTGGAGGTCACAGGGCAACCTCAGGTGTATTCCTTTACCTCCAGCTTTCATTGGCCTGGGGTTTACTGACTCAGCAAGCCCAGGAATCCTCCTGCACTAGCTTCCCTATTGTTGGAATTACAAACATGCCATCACGCCTGGCTTTTTATGTAGTTTCTTGATACTGAGCTCAGGTCCTCGAGCTTGTGAGGCTTGAAGCTTTCATGTCTATTTAACTACTCATCGTATTACTGGGTGCTACAGTAGCTCTCAGTTACCCAACGATGATACAAGCGAGTGCTAGGGCTGCAAGACAACCGCTTTTTTTTTCAGCACATTGCACTTTCTTGGAGACAAGGTCTCAATTTGTAGCCCAGATTGGACTCAGACACAGTAATCCTACCTCAGCTACTCAAGTGGCAACACTACCCTGTCTGGCTAAACTACTCATTTTTTGAGACAAGAGTTCTCTGTGTAGTCCTGGTTGTGCTGGAAATCACTCTATAGACCAGGCTAGCCTCAGAACTCACAGAAACCTGGCTGCTGTAGGCATGCACTACCACACCTGGCCTAACCACACCACTAAATCAAAGATGCAGGTTAGCAGTACAGCTGTTAACCATGCCTGGAAGACAACCTGCAAGTGTGGAGACAGGAGGGCCGGCAGCTTGCACTCACTTTCAAAGGGTCTGTGTTCTTGCAGCACTTCAGAGCAAGGGCCAGCCTGCTGTGGGATACCCTTTACACAGTGTGAAGACATTTCACTGTGATCTGGTTTAATAAAAAGCTAAACGGCCAATAGCTAGGCAGGATTTTCCAGGGCAGAGGCAAAAGGAGTCACCAGCCAGATACAAAGAAAGCAGGAAAACAACATAGGCAGAGTATAAAGCTAAAAAAGTCACTAGGCAGAAAGTACATTAATAGAAACAAGCTAATTTAGCTACAAGAGCTAGTTAGAAACAAGTCTAAGCTATAGGCTGGGCTTTCATAATTAATAAGTCTCTATGTGGTTATTTGGGAGCTGGCAGGCGCGACAGAAAAAGTCTGACTATGCCAGGCAAAAGGTAACCACAAGTCTTCTGCACTCACCTGTTGGGCTATGAGGTCCAGCCGGCTTTCCAGAGTGTTGGAAACCTTTATCTTGCGATCCCCATTATAGATTTCAACTCCACCAGCTCTACAGAGAACACAGGAAGAAACACACTTACACCACTCCCTTGGCACGGGTGGCTTAGGCATGCGAAACGCACACAGGGCAACAGGCTTGACCTTAATTCAACAGCTGCAGTGAGAAGTCAACATGACACCAAGTGCTGCTGAGCACAACCATGTGGTTACAGAGCACTGTTCAATTACAGCTAGGCCTCCCCAGCAGGGTGGAGACTGGTTTCAATCATCAGAGCTATGGATAAATGGGCAGCCTCCTGGAGAGGTGGTACCTGCATGCTGCTGACAGGGAGGACAGATGACTCAACATGCTTAAACAGCCTATCACCTGCCTCTAGCCACCCTCACTTGTCACCCCACCCCTCAATGCCTCTCAGGTCAACTATGCTACAAGGAACCCTAAGGAACAAGATTCCCAGTTCCGTCAGTTACTGAGATAAATGGACTATCAGATGAAAGTCTGAATGATGTTTGAGGTAACACTAGGTAGTCCAGGCTAGCCTGGGACTCACCATTAACAATGCTGCTGCCTCTGCTGAGATTACATGTGCCAGCGAGCAAGGCTGGTAAAGGTTGTGCACGTTCTCCTTGGTTGTGCACACTTCAGTGGATGATGGCCACAGACATACCCACTTCCCCCTTTATGTTCAGTGATAGGCAGATGCTGCTTTTGCTGAAACCCTGATGCCTGTGGTT